GAACTCCTTGAGTGCACCATGAGAAATGCACTCCCCACATCCTTAAGAGAGGCCTTACTTTGATAACTCAACTGATTCAACACAAATAGATGTATAAACACTTTCTAAGCACTCCCTGGTCTCAGAAAAGTGTTTCATTTTATTAACTGGACCATTGGTCTTGAAAAAATACATTGTACAGTGTCCAGGCAGCAAAAAGTTTGGGAATTCTGAATAATAGCTCTGAGAATTGGTTAACTCCTTGTGTGTCCTTGTGTCCTAGAGCTGACCTTGGGCTGGTTCACTGAGAAATACAGCTCAGCTGTTGGAGCTTGCATCAATTCTGCAATATTTCTGTCCAATTTATAACTGTTTATCCTGCAATCAAATTCTAACAATTATGGACACTTGGGAAAAGGCACACATCACTTACAAACACAAAAGAAATTGTGCTTTCATTTTTTCGTTCTTGACTAAATTTCTTCTACTCGGCATTTTTGTATATGCTTCTCTTACTGCTACAGAGCTCACTGAATTTTTAAATGAGCATTGCGCTGAATGTTTAAATTACATTTTACTGAATTTGTACGTTATACTGAATTTGTAAATGAGCATTGTGGTTGATCCTCAGCCAGCAACAAAGTACCATGCAGCCCCTTGCACACAGCTGCTCCTCCCTTCAGTGGGATGGGGAGAGGAATCTCAAGTTATGGGGATTTTTGATGGAATTTTGAATGAGTTAGAGATGGGATTTTTGATGTGTCTCATTGTTTTTATTTTTTATGTATATAGGAAGAGTGAGTTTGGTTTCTCTTTTTATTGTATGGTTTAGAAGGTTATAAGACTTTTAGTTCCAAAACCTGTTAAGGATTTATTGATTACTAAAACATTGTTAATAAGGATATTTGTGGCTTTGATTCAATCTTTAAATATTTTGTTTTATGGATTTATACTACAGTGTAAGTTTTCTTAGTTAATCATGTGCTGATAGATAAACTTACTGTACTGTATTCTAAACTTCTTGTTTACCTTTTAAATTACTTTTATTTTCATATATAAAATGCTAAAACTCTATGCATTCTTCTATTTATTGAGTTCTTGTTTTAAATGTTAAACTCACATTCTTAAGTTTGGAAGCTTTTTCTAAGGCCTCAAATCAAATTTGTGTTTAATTCTAAGCTTTGGTTTACAGGCCCAAGATTCTGACAGTTCAGATTCCAACAGAGAAGAATCAGAAGAAAAACTCATGAGTTGAGGTGAGGACTATTTATGAAATGACAAAGTATAATGAAATTATGTTATGATTATAGTTATTATTGATGTAATGAAAAAGTGAGAGAGAATTGGGTAAAATATCCCTTTTAGGTATAAAGAAAGGAGGAAAAGGGGTAAAATGCAAGAGGAACAAGTGATGAACAATGCCACTGACCAGGGCCCAGCCTGTCCCCAAGCAGTGACTTTGCCCCTGGCCAAATTCCCCCACTTTCCCTACTGGATGTGACCTTCCATGGATGGAAATCCCTTTGGCCACCTTGCGTCACCTGTCCCAGCCCTGCTCCCTCCCAGCCCCTTGTTCACCTGCCCCTGGCAGGGCTTGGGACACTGAAAAGTGCTGGATTTAGGGTGAGCCCTGCTGAGCAACAACCAAACATCAGTGTGGAATCAACGTGCCATCAGTTATTCCCATAATGAGCCCAAACCACAGCTCTGCACCACCTACTGGAGAGAAAACTAACTTTATACCAATCAAACCCAGGAAAATAAGGTGAATATATTCTAAAAAGCTAAAAAGAACACCTCTGCAACACATAAGAGAAAAATAATTATATGAACGTGCTGATTTGTTCTCATCACTTGCCTTGACATGACTATCAGTCCAAAACCCCTCCCTAGGCCATCTGTATTAAAAAATACTTTTGAAAAAGATGGACAAAATCTGAAGCTGGGCAAAAATCTGTCATCACTGTCTCATTGCTTTTTTCCCCACTAAGAATCCTTAAACACTTAGATGCCCTCAGGATGCTCTCTATTTGGATAATAAAGCTGTGAAAAGGGGACCACTTCCTTGTGGAAAATGAATCTTTGGAATGAATTTTACATCTGTCCATGCTGAACACCACATGTCTAAAGAATAAAATACAGTGCATTGGAAGGGTTTTGGCTGTTAATATTTATGATCACTCCAGCCTTCCTTTTCCATTTATCAATGATTTGTTAGAGGATCACACTTTGTCCAGATTTATACAATACTAAACATCACAATGGATCCTCAGGCCCAAGCCAGAATTGATTTCAAGTAGCTCCCTGAGTATTTTGCCACTGTTGGGATGTCATTCATCATCAAAATTGCATGAAATTGTGCTGTTCCATGGGATGACAACAATTTAAATTAGAAGAAAATGAAAATTAATAGCAGAGTGATTTCTGATAGACATTCATGTTTGGATTAATAATTCCTAATAAAAAATGTATGAAACTTCATTATCTGCCAAGAAGCTGAAGTTAATTGCAAACTCTGTCACTGGTTCCCATTTTGTGCAGACAGTTACTCCCCATGGGCTTCATCCTCAGGGATTTTGGTCAGGATCTTCATATTGTATCACCAGTTTATCTGTAAATATCAGCTTGGGAATCAGCACTCTTAATCCTTCCAATTTGGGACGACTTTATTTGCACTGTTCCCTACTTGTTATAATTATTTCTGGCAATTAACAAAGCCTAATATATATAAAATACATATGTAAAATTTATATATTACAAAAGTATACTATATATGCATATAATATATATATATAATACAATATATAATATTATATATATAATATATAATATATAGTAACACTATATATAAAATATATACTATATAAAAATATTATATTATATATTACACATATAATATAGATTATATAATATATTCTGTGTATTATATATAAATGCATATATTATATGCAAATTTATATACTATATATATTATATAAATGTATATATATATTATATATATTATATATAAATGTGTATATATATTATATATAAATTATATATATACACTCATTTTTAGCCCTTGACTGCAAGTGCTGTAGAAAAGGGAATACCACTCACACAGAAGTGTATGCAACACACAGACATCTATTTGAAATATTCAACAAGTCCCACAGCTTTATGTAATTTACCAAGAAAGAGAACTAACATTGCTTTCACTCTCGCATGATTAAAAGATCAATCTTTAGATACTCAACTGAAAAGTAAAATGAGAAACATTTTATCTAGAAGACTTTGGTTTTGGTCTGTCTTACACTGGAAGAATGATTTTGCATTTGTCTCACTTCTTCTCAGAATGAACTCAGAAACCTGCTGCTCTCTTTAAATGACTTTCACCTGTGCTAACCATATTTGTGGGTCTACTTAGGCCTGAACACTGTGTTTCAGGTCTAAAACATCCAACTACTTGGAAATGAAATTATTAACACTGTAAAATCCCTTGGAAGTATGTGAACCATCTATTTTCCAGGTTTTGTTGGCCAAAAACCAGATGGCTGTTGACACTTGGTGGAACACAGAAGGATTTATACTCTATTTATTCTATATATTTATAGCTCTTTCAGAGAAGCAGATCACTGGCATGGGAGCCAAATCATGTGTACTCTTCCATTGTCTCGTTAATGACACTTCACTAATTGACTCATGATTTCTGAGCACTCACGTTGGGAGTGAGAAATGTCTACAAATCAAGGCACAGACTCTCACTTCATTTTGACTTGTGATTTTGACTCATTTTCAGCTCATATTACAGAAACTCCCACACCCCATTTAAACTATCAAGATGTCACTTTTTCCTTTATATTTAAAGTCATTCCAAATTTACTTCTGTATCAATAATTGTTTTCCAAAAGTGATAATCTTTACTCAAGTATAAGAAACTGAGTTTTTAATTATAAAAAGCAGAAAGTTTTATGGAAAAGAGAATGCAAGTGTCAGTGACAGAGGTCCTCTAAACCATCTCCTACAGGACCATTCTTCCTCAAGTAATCTAGATATCAAACAACACTGAAAAAATTCAAGTCCCTGAAAGATCTGGGCCCTCCTGAAAATACCCACAGATCCCATTTACTGAGTCATTCTGTAACACAGAAAACACTTGCAGGAGCTTCTGAAATGTACACTTAAAATGTTCAAAGCATAAACTACTTCAACATGTTCTTTGCTATTTTTATGGGAGCCCCTTATTGAAGTAGAACTCTTAAACACATGGAAGAAAATAGTGTGCACTAACCTGCAACTTGGAAAATGGGAAAATTTATTGCCTTCAATAAAATACAAGATTATCATGTTAAAAGAAATATGAATGAGGAAACCAAGTATTAAAATAACTCTTTAAGCTGGTCCCTGCATGGTCAGAGATTTGAATGAATTATTTGTCTAAATTCCTGCTGAAGAACCAATTTCCACTTGCTCTTCACAGGAGATTTGTGGTTCTGCCCACAACTATAAACCACAGGAACCGTGAAGGAGCTGATATAAAGAGACAGGCCATCTAAATCCCTCCAGTACCAGGAAATGCATATCAGCACCAGCTGTTGCAGCCACATAATTTAAAATATTATTTTTTAAATTAAATATAATTTAAATATATTATAATATTGATAAAATGACAAATAATTAAAATAAAAATAAAATAAATTTTAATATAGATAAAATGACAAATAATAGAACTATGCATATAAATAAAAGCATAAAAATAAATAACATTAAAACATTAATTAAAATGGAAATAAAATTAAATAAATAATAAAATTAAATGGAAATAAAATAAATGAATTTAATTTTGAGGAAATACACTGAATGGGTTTAAACAATGCATGTAAAACTGAGCAGGAGTGAAAGCTATTCTAACAGTGGCAGGGTTAAAAGGACACACTGCCATGTCTAAACCCCAGCCTAGGGAAAACAAGGCCAATTTTGATGGATGCAAATCTCATTCTATGCACCTAAGTCATGATAAGTAAAATACAATAAACTTTTACCAGCAAACAAGACAATGTTCTTCTCCCCCAGTGTGCTGCCTCTGGTCTCACAGGAAAGTGCTCCTGACAGGAGGAATCCTTTGTGAGGCAGAGCTCCTGCCCAGTCTCCACTCCATCCAGCTGACCTTTAGGCAGAAAGATAATATCAAAAATAAGTAATGAGAAACTTTGCCTTTAAACAGCTCATCTTTAAAACACTACCCCATAACTTAACATAGCCCATAAATACAACTGTAAGAAGAGCTTGTAGAAAATGGGAAGGATTTCACAAATACAGACTTTCCCAAGCAGCTGTTTTTTGTACACACAGCCATGAGAAAACTGTTTCTTATAGGGATGTCTCCATAACATTAACAAAAGGGACTTCTCCCCCTAAACAAACTGAAAAAAAGACTATTTTAAAATAGTAAACTGAAAATTTTAGGTTGTGATTGTTTACATTATCAGTGAGAAAGAAAAAGTTATAAGAAGAAGAGACATGTGCTAAAAGTTTTGTTCTAATTCTTATTACTCCTTTTTTTTTAGTTGTTACTATGATATATTATGATTATGAGAAATTTTTTCTTTATATCCTTTTAAAGTTTTGAGGCTGATTTACCTTCCTCCTTGTCCTATATCAGAACAGAAAATAATCAAGTGCTGCAGCAGATGTACAGCTGAGACGGCCACCATACCCAGAGTGTCACCACACAATGTCAGAAAACTTCAGCCCACTCAGAGTAACACCATGGCACTTTAGGAGGCTTCAAGTGGCTGGTTTTTTTTGTCCTTTAGCCCAGCCTTTTATGCCCTCCTGTTGATGCCCTGCCCCTGTGTGCCCTCTGTATGATTGCTCAGCACCCCTGGGCACTCCCTGGCTCCTCACCCTCAATAGCAGTCACCTGTCCTGCACAGCTGGAGACAATTGGGGACCAGCCACAGCCCCACTCCAACCACCACAAACACTGTGCCCACAACTACATTCTAGTGAGCACACGAGTCATTAAACAACACTAAACCCACACTATGCTGTGGGGGTTCCAGCTGTGGATTTCTCTGGGTCAGGATTGAAGGCACTCGAGACATAGTTCATGTTCAGACTCAGGTGTTTATTATTCCTTATCAGTAAAACAGTCTCACTGCTCTGAGTTCTGCAGCTTTCCATTAGAAGGCACAAAATGGCCAACAATCTCTTGGTACAAGGTCTTTTAAGATTAAACTATCCAATTAAGAACTGACACCTGGATTATTTTCCCTTTTAACCCAATAACTGATCCCAAAGAGCTGCAATGTAGATTTTTATGCCCAATTACCAAATGCCACCCAAACCCATAAAGAAGAAGAAGCATGAAGGAGAAACCCAGGACAACACCCTGTGCCCTTCATCTTTCTTCCATCCACAACATACTACAAATCCCAAAACCTCAATTTCTCACCAAATGATACACGTACACTGCTCTCTATAATCTATTTCACACTTTTGTGGATTCCAGTCTACCTTGAAGTCTGGGAAACCTTCTCCATGAATGAGGGTCAAAGTCAGTGCTGCCCTGGGGGTCAGGGCACCCAGAGCAGACAGAGAAATATTCCCAGTGCCCTGGGTTTCTACACTGTACTATTAAAGCATTAAAAAAAGAGAAATTTAAATAATTAAAATACTTTAAATACTTTCTTTTTATATACTTAATTTAAATACTTTCTTTTTATAGCTTTATCCTTAGATAACCTTGCCAGAAGACATGAGTAATGTTTGCATGAATTGCAATGGAATTGCCACTCATTCTTTCATTCATTCATTCCAGTGGAGTCTCTCCCCAGTCTGGTCTGTACCAGTAAAATAACACAGGAAATTCAGCAGAGATCTGCCTTGATGGTGGTCACTTTATTCCCCTCAATGCCAATTTTCACTCTTGGGGACACATTTCTATACATATGTCACAGCCTAAAGTCCTGGCTGCTCGTTGCACAAAAATCAGGCAGCTCTAGTAGCCTCCATCACTTCTTTGTCTTTGTTTACTTAACATGTTCTGCTCAGGTATTTCAGGTCAGCAAAAGATCTGGGAAACAAGGTGCCCCACAAAAGCCTTCAGGGAAAGCACTTCTCTTCGCTATCATCTCTAGAGATACCTGGGCAGAGACAGCCAGAGAACCAAAAGGATATTTTGAGAGCAGGCTTTTTTCTTTTGCATTAGCCACAGTGTAAAACCAGCAGCTTTAAGGCCCTGAGGAAAGCCAGGGGAATTGAGCACCAAGGCAGCTGACAAGAATGTATATAGTGATATCTGGACATCTTTAGAGAGAGGCACGAAATCACTCCTAAAGGAATTTTGATTAATCTTTGCTTTTATCCTCTGTTTGTTCTAGCAAAATATTATACATAATTTTGTTTGTTTGGGTTTTACCATTACAATTTGCTCCCAGCTATTGATTGCCCCACTTGCTCATTTTATCTTCTTTTTAAGATAGCTGTAGGGAATTGAAATCAGAATCATGCCTATTTGAGTATTTGTACAGAATTTAGCAGAAGTGGTACTGTTGCTGTGCTAGGATTTTACATTAATGTACTTTAGATGCAACACATTTTCTGCAAAATACATGCTTAAGTTCAAAAAACAAAATAGACAATACTGGATACATGGAGGGAGGGTGGAGAGCAGAAAGAAATCTCTTTCCTGACAAGATTTGAAGGACACTTGGTTCAACACAGATGAAATTTAAATGCAATTCTAAAAGAGCTACGGTTGCATAAAACAATTCTGAAAGAAAATGGGTTCTATATTTGTCAAAACTATTTCAAACATATCTAATCTATGCATTAGATTTCACTTTCATTCCTTTTCACTATTTATTGCTCCCCTTTGCAGTGTGTTATTAATTTATAAATGTGTGGGATACCAATGTTTTTATCTACTAATACAATTTTAAAAATTCATGAGGTTAAATGCTTTCTATTTAAGCACTAAAGACATAAAGCCATCACAGCCAATATCTACACACTTTCTAAAGCTTGGTCTCTTAACCCAAGACATCCAGAAAGAGGAAGGTCAAATTCAAATCTGTCAATGAGCCCCATGAGGTTATAGACAGAGTTTATGAGCTAACATATTGATTTTATACCTTGCTTCTAGCAAGGATATCAAGTTTGCAGGCACACCAATTTCTGACATTTGTATATTTAGAACAGCTAACCTTACTCTTCTTTCTTTGCTCAGAGTCAACTTGTGGAGTTTTAACTTCTTTTTGTTAGGGTTGGGATTAAATGTGTGAGATGGTATTTCGTGTTTGGAGTCAGATGTTTATTGGTTTTTATCTATATTACAGTGTTATAAACTCTGAGCTCTATAGCACCTCTCTATACCAAACTAAAAATGGAGCTGCATCTCTAGAAATCTTTTTAGGATAAACTGTCTAACTAAGAACTGACACCTATTTTTTTTTTATTTTTAACTCAATAACTACCTGTAACTCACAATGCAAATTTTTTTATCTGATTATACAATACCACCTAAACCCATAAAGAAGTCAACAAGGAAGACCAGCTTCTGCCCTAAAATGTCTATTTTGCTTTATAAATATTGTTATATTCCACAACTCTAAGTTTCCCACCATGTGATATCACACACTTGTATTCAAAACTTCTATTCAAACTACACATTCATTCCATTTTGGAAGCTTTCTCCAGGGCCCCAGGTCAAATGCAGGGTCTCTTGGGGGTCAGTGCCTGCCAGCCCAAAGAAATCTAAAATTCCCAGTAACCAGAGTTCCAACATGAGCTAAATCTCAGCAGGACTGATCACCTCAGGTTATATCTCATACTCAGATTTAATTGGCAGTGTTAAGCAGGTCAAAGAAGCTGGCTGCAGAGAGGGAGCCCTGAGTGTCCCTGCCAAAATAATCACCCATAATATCCTGTGCTCCTCTGAAATACCTGAGGCAACCCAAGCTTTCCTTTTTGCTTTGTTCCATTTATTTCTATGCAGCTTTGAAACAACTCATACACTTCTTGCTTCCCAGAATAGCTGGGATTTCATCAAATGTCAATAAAATCAGGTGCTTTTTCATTACTTCTTTTTGCTTTACATTGTACTTCTACAAATATAAACATGTGTGTGTCTGTGTATACATATATACACTTACTTTTTCCCTTTGTAATGCTAGAAAGACACACATTTTGAAATTAATATATTCCTAAAGAACATCAGACCTACTTTAACAAGCCTTTTGTTCCCTGTTTTTCAGCTGCCAGCTCTTTCTGTTCAAAATATCTAACATTTGCTGTTATTTATTTGGAAGAACTGAGATTTTCAAATAACACAGACAGCTTAAAATGGACTACCTGAACTGGAGTCTGCAGAACAAGACTGTTCCTGATTGTATTGCTCTTAAAAATGTTAAAATATATTTCTGTCTTGAAAATATGCACACATATGTTAAATATTTGTCCTCACAGAGGTTTTTTCGTTCCTAATATTCAGATGAGCAGGTGTGCCAGCTGTGCCACATACTGTGCCCTATGTCCAATCAGCAAACAAAACCACTTTTGAGAGTCTGAGCACCTCGACATTTGCCAATTCTGTAATTTCAAATGCAACTAGAAAAGGCTGAGCAAAGGCGGGTAAAGAAGTTCTTTGTGTTGCAGAGAACTGTTAGTTTCGGACTTGTTAAAGATATAACATCTAAATGCATTTTTACCACTATCTGCACTAGTTAAGATTCCATTCCTTTCATCTCTTGAGTTGATTTGAAAATTATATTGAAGCTCAGTATTAGGTATCATATAACACAGTGTTATAAAATGTTTCAATTAGTATTAAAATTATTTATATTTAAAGAATAAGAATATTAATATAAATTAAAATAAAATAAAAACAAGAAAAAATTTAAATGTCTTATTAAAATTATGTACTTCTGTTCATAGGATATTTCTAAAGGCCTTGTGGAAATGAAAACTTTCACCTAAGTCTTTTAAACTACGGGGCGAAATTTGGTGTGCCTTGAATGCAATAAAGTAGGACCAGATTTCTGACTTCAACAGATAAAAAGCCTACAAAAGATACAACTACTGATGTATATCATGGGAAAGGATTCTTGTGTCATTTCTAAAAGCCCATTATGGCATTTACTGAATTAATAATCACTTAATTGT